TGGTGAAAGCCTTCGGGAAGCCAATTGGCCGATCTGTCACCTCTTCTCTCTATGAAGGTGAAAGTAAGCATGGGGACATGAAATGTCCTTACTATGTTTGAACCTTGCAAGGCTGCCCAGATTGTAAAGGAGATAAGAAAGTAATGGCACATGATTGCTAAGAATCTGTAAGGAATTTGTAGATGGAATGGAAGTGGACTCTACAAACTGTCAACTAGAAAGTCAATAATCTACTCCGATATTGTTACCCAGACGACAACCACGAGCACACTGAGTTTTCGAGTGGCTATCATCGTCTCCCCAACAACATCAAAGGCTCTCATACAATGGGAACCAATCCTCTCCTGCAGGATCATGACAGCAAGATTCAACTCAAAAGGAAAGAAAATTGCACTCATACAATGCTACGCTACGCACATACGAATAATGCAGATCAAGAGGAGAAAGGGAAATTCTACAGGCAACTCCAATCAGAACCGGACAAGACACCACTTCAGTTGGCGATATCAAAATTGTAATAGGCCACATGAATGCGCAACTGGGAGCGGACAACACAGGAAGAAAACTCATGGTGGGTCGAGAAGCACTCGGTGAAACGATGAATGAGAATGGAGAAATGTTTGCGGACTTCTGAGCATTCAACGATTTAGTGATCGGAGGTACTGTGTTCAAGCACAAGGATATTTACAAAGCGACGTGGATTTCACCAGATGGACACACTAAAATCAGATTGACTTCATCTCTATTTCAGGAAATTGGAGACGCAGCCTACTTGACACAAGGTCAAGAAGGGGAGCAGATATAAGTTCAAACCACTAACTGTTTAGTACTAGAAACCTTTAAAACTAAGTTGAAAGCCTTCAAGGAAGTTGGTGATAGACGACCACAGTTGAAGTTTAACACCCGGAAACTGAAAGACGAAACTATAAAGGACATCTTCACGTCAGCCATCAGGACAAAATGGAAGACATCAGGCAACATCAGTGAAGAAACCTGCATGGAAGAACACTGAAACTCTATGAAAGAGACGTGGAAAGAGACCTGCATAACCGTATTAGGAAGGAAGAAGAAAGAAGATAAGGAATGAATCTTGATGGTCACATGGAAGCTGATAGGGGAGGGAGAGGAAGATGGTGAAGGAGAAGATGAACCAGTGTAGTGCAGGGATGAATAACGAAGAAAGGAACTGAACACAACCTATAAAACACTACTCTGGACAAAGAAGTGAAGAAGAGTGCGCGCAGATACAAAGACACTTCTGCCACGACACACTTGCAGGTGAAGCAGAACGGGCTGATGGTAGGAGAGACAGAGACCTGACAACACCATTAAATAACCAGGTTACTATCCGCGAAAAGATCAACTCATATGGAACCAATGAAAGACAATGAACAAAAGCTAGTTACCGGAGAGGAGAAACAAAGGAAACGATGGTCTGACCACTTCAGAAACCTCCTGAACTCACCACCACCATGTGCAACTCGTCAAGACATACCACCAGCAACCGCAGAGTTACCAGTGAACACAAGCCCTCCGACAAAATCAGAAGTGAAGCCCCGAACACCATAAGGCTACTGAAATGCAGGAAAGCAGCAGGACCAGATGGAATTCCTCCAGAAGCACTGAGAACAGATTCGGGGACAACTGCGAGCATGCTCACACCACTACCACACAAGACCTGGAAGGAAGGAAAGATATACACCCACTGGGAACAGGGTGGCCGGCTTCAGGAAGTACAAATAATGTGCGGACCAAATTGCAGCGCTTCGCATCATCACAGAACAGAGTACAGAAGGGCAGCCAACCCCTTACCCGAACTTCATCGACTTTGAAAAGGCCTTCGACAGCGTCGACCGACAAGTAATTTGGCAGTTGCTCCAACACTACGGTTTTAGTGCTACAAACCTTTATCAATCTCATTCAACAACTATATGAAGACAACACATGCCAAGCAATTCACTCAATGACGCCTTTGAAGTGAAGACAGGAGTAAGGCAAGGTTGCCACCTACTATCACACATGATCTTCCTAATTGTGGTGGACTGGATCATGCAGCGGACAACTGTAAGGATCAAGAAGAGGGGGATACGCTGGACCGCGGAAAAGATCCTAGAAGGTTTAGATTTCGCCAGTGATGACTTGTGCCTAATGTCTTGTGGCACAAACTCGGAGATCTGCAGGCAAGATCCAGCAAGTTGATAGAAGTGGCAGGACAGCGAAGACAGGACTTCAAGTGAACGTAGAGAAGACAGAGGTGATGAAGATACCCAACCAACACCACCACCAACAACAAGAAGCTCCAGTCACCATCAACCGGAGGAACTTAAAGGAAGTAGCTTCTTTCACCTATCTGGGCATGAAGCATTGTTTCAACTACAGGCGGCACAGACGAAGACGTCAAAGCCAGCCAGGATCGGAAAAGCGAAACAGGCGTTCATTGCCCTAAAACCAGTGTGGAGATCTACTGCACTGCACTCAGCATGTGGAACAACATCCGGATTTTCAACGCAAGCGTCATGTCAGTGCATCTTTATGGCTCAGAGACTTTGCATGTTACGAAAAATATTTCCAACAAACTGCAGACACTCATCAACAACTGCCTATGCTGGCTCGTTACTGAAGATCAGATGGCCAGAAAGAATAAGCAACAAGGAACTCTGGCTAGCTGGCAACGAACCAACGAAGCAAGAAGACATCACTCAACAAATATGCACTGGAAGGAAGTGGAGATGGATTGGGCATACACTTAGAAGGTCGACTGGGGACATCACGCGCCAGGCCCTCGGGTAGAACCCGTACGGGAAACGACGAGTTGGTCGTCAGAGGCTAAAGTGACATGGAGGCGATGGTGTGAGGAAGAAATGAGAGCTTGTGGGCAGTCGTCTGGCTAGATTGAAAAGATTGCATAGAACAGAGTGGGATGGAGACGTGCTACTGAAGCCCTATGTTCCATTAGGAACCCAAGGGAAAAATAATAATGGTAATAATTAAGCAAGATAATCTGGTTAACCAAATCCCTTGCAATGATTGCCAGGTCAAATACATAGGTCAAAGTAGTAAGTAGAGTAGGGTCGATTAGAATAACAGAGCATAAAACTTAGCTAAATCTAGATTAGTAGATCCTAAGGAGATAAGAAACTTGAAGGAAAGGCCAGCTGGTTATAGCTCTGCAAGCACACAATCACGCAGTAGGGTGGGGTAAGGCGACATTGTTAAAAACGAACTTAGTTGGGTAGAGGGAGGGAGAGATTGATGACCGAATCTTTGTTTATCGAATCAATACCAAATACATGAGCTAATAGAGATGATTCTGCACCTATCTGAGATATATGGAAAATTCTACTACCCTTGTCATATCACAGAGAAGGAGAGAAAATTAGGAATATATAAATTCTGTCTCGAAGTTGTTGAGTTATCTGATATTGAATATGGACAATAAAGATTTGTGTCCGAAACGTTATCCAGTAAATGATACTGTCCATTCACTGTGTGATATTTCTAATAAACAAAAGAAAATGGAATTACAATCGACTAGAGTGTCCAAGTTTTACTCCTATATTTATAAACTTTTATTTGTTTCTAGAGATTATAAATACCAATGAACAGCTCTATTCAACCGACTTGACTCGGTGTACTAGATTATCTAGCTTATTGTTCAGAGAAAACCAGCTAGAAAGTGTCTGCTTAACTCCTGTCTTCAGTAGTACTTGAATTTCTCATTTTCGCTTTTAATAACTAAAGTCTAGAAAGTAAACAGGGTTTGAAACGAGATCTTATAGATCACTTTCCTTACTTCTTACTTCCAATCATACTTTATCGTCATTTAGTTTTTTTTGAGTACTGTTGCCATGTGTTATTGAAGTAATATACAAACAACTAAGTTTCATCATCTTCGGCGGTCGAAGACTTTAGTTGGCATGTTTTTCACAATCACTCTCAGTGTTGCTGATACCTTTTGATTGTCATACTAAATTTCGTCATTACTATATCCCTCTTTCCTTTCTTTTTAGGACTTTCTACAGTTTTTAATTATTTTCTCATGTATTCCTCTATCCCTCTTCTTGCTGCCTTGTTCCTTGACATGGTGATGTGAGATATGGGGACTTGAACAGTTACATATTAGTCTCAGGTGCCATGTTGGTATTGACTAACTGACTGACAGATGCACAAACAGGAACTCAACAATATCAAATCTTGCAACTGCTTGAAAACATATAACATCGATTAGAGTAGTTTATAATGTTCAGCACTTTCGACTGGCAAAGGGGTCACATCAAGCAGTATTCACATAGCACTTTGGACTGGTTACAAATTTTTTCATGATCACCGTTTGTTGTGTGAATAAATTTTGTCCTGAAAGTGAGACAGTTTTGAACACTTTCAATGATATGTCAACCACTGCATAAACTCATCAATAAGAAGATATTTTCACTGTCTATCTAAATCATTTGATGTCTCTGTTCATATGAATATCAAAATTTAGGTAATTGTTAGAGTATTACAGCATCTCTTTCTTTGGTAGTACATATCCAACTCCACTTTCTTTCTTTCTTTTTTTCATCATCTACTTATTCGTGTTCCCACCTACTCGCTGAACAAAGCAAACATGAAATTGTAACTAATTGGTTTCGGGAGTTGAATTTCGACCAAGTTAGTCATGGGTTCAAACAATGCTCCACCTATCGAGGTTTGGCAAACCAGGTAGGGGTATCACTAGCCCTGACACACACACACACACACACACAATGTGTGGCTGATTGCCTACCACATCAGGGTCAACAAGAGAGCTGAGTGGATTTCGATGTCTGCAGCGATTTGGCAACTTATACCAAAATCCAGTGTTACCACGACCATGGGGACACTAGATGATTTGTTGAAATAAATATCCAGTCATGTTTTTGTCTTTGTCTTTATCCAGTTTCACAGTTCATCGCAAAAACATGTTAGGAGCAAACAAAGAAAATTCAAACAACAAATATTCTTTTGTAGTTATTTATTTATCGATTTACTGATTTTATCGCATAATTGATTAAAATGTAACAACAAATAAATCAGTTAATTATTAAATTCATAGAACATTTGATCTAGTGATGTTTTATCGGCGTAGCGTTTAGTTGCACACCTTGACAGTGAAATATGTTCAACTTGATTAATTGGCAGTTTTGTATGGATCTTTTCTATACTACTAACAAAGCGGTTTGTACAACAATCAACGCTGTTATTATTATTATTATTATCGATAGTAATAGTGTGCCAATCACGGTTTATTTCATTGTTATTCAATAAGTTAACTAAACAGTATTCACTAGAAGTTAATGATTTTTGATAAGAATTATTCATCCAAGCAAAATCCTCATCAAGTTGACTATTTGAATGATTATGTCGATAAGTGGATATGGGATTTGTTTGATTCTCATGTACAGGATTTGAAGTATACACCAACAGTGGTGATGTTGAAGATGTCGACACTGACACTGATGAAGATAATGGTGATGACATTGATCTAAAGGAAGAGGATGATAACAAGGATAACGATGCTAATGATTTCAAATTATATTCATATTTGCCTGGTGCTATGGCTTATTGGTTTGATTAGTTAACTTTCAACCAATGAATCTTGAGTCCGATCCCCACCTTACCCACCTGGGTAGTATCATTAGGTTTCACACAACAGGCGTGGCTCATTGCCTACTACGAGAAAACGTGCACATAATTCCTGAAGGTATTTCAGTCTTTCTTTTTCAGTTTATGTTTGTGGCTATCGTAACTCAGTGGCCCAGTGGATGACGCCCTAGCGTTTGAAACGATAAGTCCTCAGTTCAAGTCTTGACAGTGACTACATCACTCACTGGGGAACAGATACGTCCAGCTGATGAGTCCCAAATAGGATGAAACAGGCCTTCTGGATTTCACTGTTAGCGACTACACATCATCACTAGTGCTAGAATAACTGATAATAAAGATAATACGCTCCATGCTTCTATAGTGATTTTAAATAGCCAGAGGCAGTTAGCAGAAAGTCCTGACAGCCATACGTTTCATGCATTTTGGTACAAGTCAGCATGGCTCATCTTCAACCTGCGAGATTCGAATTGACATCACTCACTGCTACAATTAGAAATGTGACTTATAAGCAATTCAGGTCTCTAGTAACCTGTCGGATTGTATCGAATACACTGATTAATCACATAACTTCACTTCCCACAAGTGGTCGATACACCTTCCTGGAGAGGCCTGACAAGAAAATCTGATTTTGAGTAATAGATGACACTGAAAGTTATTTCTTAATATTCTGTGTGCATATTTCATCACATCAAGGTGGATGTTGAGAGATAAGCCAAATCAGTCATAAATAACTCCATATACTATGTCGACTCATTGTTTTGAGCATTTAAAGGCCAACCAGCGGAACATCATTCTGAATTCTATTCTCCCTGCTGAGGCTTTTAGAAAACCAGGCAGTTTCATTGATTATTAACCAATTTTACAATCTTTTGTTTTTCAAGTTTAGCAAACTCACTGATGAAGTGAGTATTAAGATAATTAAAACAAAAGATCATTCATGATAAATTAGTTGGTTGTAGCTAGCAAAAGAACCCAGGGCGCGCGTCTTGTCCTACTTGGGACTCGTCAGCTGGATATACATGCACACCAGTGATATTGTCCCCACTGAGACTCGAACCTCATACACATCACTTCAAACGCAAAGGCATTATCCACTATGCCACGGAGGAATGATAGCCACTTCTTGTACAACGGGTAGTAGTTATTACTATTTATTGACATACTCGTTATTCTCCGTTGTTTTGTTCGATCGAATTGTTCCACCTCTATTGGCATATGGGCTCCTATGCGGATACCTCAATATTGCCTGAATGTTAATTATGATAATTTGGTTGGTTGTGGCTAGCAGAAGGACCCAGGGCGCGCGTTTCGTCCCATTTGGGACTCGTCAGCTGGATGTACTTGCACCCCAGTGATATTGTTCCCACTGAGACTCGAACTTCGAACGTGCGTGCTGGGTTCTTCTGCTAGCCAAAACCAACCAATTTATCATAATTAACATTCAGGCAATATCAAGGTATCCGCATAGGAGCCCATATGCCAGTAGAGGCCGAACAATTCGACCCAGTATAGCAATAGGAGATTACAAATATTGAACAACACCTGATAGACTTTGCACAAGACATGTTCCTGATGTTTGATGCCGTGGGGACAACATCACTCACTAAGGTGCAGGTGTACATCTAGCTGAAGAGTTCCAAGTAGGACAAAAATGCTTTTTCCAGATTCCACAACTAACAACCAATCAGATTGTAGGATTTTGGCTTATCACAACTTAAGCATAGTTTGAGAATTCCTCTTGCTTAAATTAATACTACAATAAATGGGTTATTTATTGCACGAAGTGACTACTAATGAGTTTATGTCTTCTGAAGGGCGCTGAACTCTTACGATGAAACATTTGCATCGGCTATCCACTATAATCCAGTACTATAGACTATCAATCGTGAATCCCTATTTCACCACCACTGGAGGAAGATCATCAACCTCATGTTAACAGATAAACCTTATTGATGATTGTTGATGAGCACAAAGACTAAGTTATACAGGACTTCTTACCGACAAACACTAAATATCAAATTTCATATTTCATTTAGGAGGTATGTGGAGATTTATTTACTGGTTTCAGGTTGGTATTCATCAAAGACCATTAAAAACCTACGACCATTGGATACTTTGTGCGGAACTCCTCAGCAATGCGTTTTCATAACCCCTCTAGAGATGTAACCTTGGAGCTTCAAGTTAAGCGACCAGCATGTGGCCGGTGAACCATGGGGTCGGAATCCAATGGTCCACATTTCTTACTTCTATCAGTGCACTTGGATATACTTTTATGCTCCTAACTTTCACTTAACCCAATATCCCATATTACTGACTACCTGTTATGATTTTTAATTCTACTTTACATATAATTGATAATAAGTGACTTTAAAGGCCATTCTAGCAATTACTGAAGGTTTGGCTATTTCAGCGGGTGACTTTAATGGCCACCCTAGCAAATCAGGAAATAACCAATTAGGTTTCTCAATTTCGGCTGCAAAGGCAGATTTTTATAAAATAGAAAAATCCGATTGGTTATTTTAGTTGTTGCTAAGGTGGCCTTTAAAGTCACTCAATGACTGTCAAAAGGAAATAGACGACTTTAAAGGCCACTCTAGCAACTACTGAAAGAACCAATCAAACTTCGGTATTTTGCCTGGCAAAGTACTTTCCCGCAAAATAAAGGAATCCAGTTGGCTATCTTATCAGTTGCTAGGGCGGCCTTTAAAGTCACCCAAAAGAAATTATTATAACCATTCGATGTGCTTTCTTTTCTAAGTGCGAAATGATGTACTTAAAGACGGGGCTTGGTGACATTTTGATGCAAATATATATTCGCTCAAATTCTTGTATTTTTCAGTAATATATTATTCCTGACTGGATGACGTTTTGAGTAGGAAACTCACCTCATAATCACACCTAGTGATTGCATAACCCAATAAAAAATAAGAGTACTTTTAAAGGCTACGCAAACAACTGCTCAGATGATAAACTTAGGTTCTCTTTTTTTGTGAAAATCTTACTTCCCAGAGGAAATACTTGAATCTGATTGGTTATTTTGGTAGCTACTAGGGTGGCCTTTTATGTCACCGATAGATAAACCACTGTCATTATCAGATGTATCAGATTAACTAATCTCCTTTATGAATCACATAAAATGAGTTAACTACCGGTCAACTTACATGTTACAATTAATAGGATCCATTCGATTCATTATTATCGCGCTCTTGGGATGACCAGGTTTATTATTACTATTATTATTATTATTATTATTATTATTAATACTCGACTGTTTCATTACCAAGCTACAAGCGTCACCATCACCATCATCCTGATCATGATAATTCTTCTGACAGAATGGGATAAAATCTCTTTGTATTTTACCGATCATCAATTGATTATCCGTTTCTGGGCTGAAATTTATCCGACTTTTTTGTTGATTTTTATCCTGCATAATTATAGTTATATTATCACCATTATTACTATTGCTATTATTGTTATTATTATGAAGATGACGATGATGTGGATTTTGATATTGATGCCCACGATATCGATTCTCATCAATAAATTTACGATTACGTCTCATTGATGAACCATTATCAAACATATCAACTGCTTGTGGATGAACAGTCCAATAGGAGCCTTTGCCTGCTTCACCTGTTGGACGTGGTACTTTAATAAAACAATCATTGAATGATAAAGCATGTCGAATTGAATTCTGCCATCTAAAATTATGCAAAACAAGAAATATACTAATTTTTTTAAAAATATGGTCAATTAAATAATAATTCTGAAAATGAATCCATTGAAATTGGTAATTGATAGAAGGGGACTAAAATTAAAATCAACATTTTAAACCCTAAGTATGCGAATCTATGCTGTCATTAGGTCAGAATATTCTTATTCGTCAGTTTAATTTTTCAATCAGCCAATCAAAATTCACTAGTCAATCTGCTTCTCAGCATATTTTTATGTACATTTATAAATAATATATTTTTGCTGAATAGTGTTCCACTCACTCAGCTAAGTAAAAAAAGTATATGATTCTCTATAGGTGGAGGGTCACTTATTAAGCATCTGCACTTCCACTACACTTCGCGTTTCAGTCCACTCGACTGCTACAAGTTTAAATAGGATAACGCTATTGAACACTGAATTATGGTTCAGTGTTTAAACAAAGTTACCACAAGTTGATGGTTTTCAGTTGGTGAGAGAACGACTACAACCTAAGTATAATTCAGTATTAGTTTCATTTATATAAGGTAATCACTATAGTATTATGGATGGAGGTGATGAAGGTTATTCAGTAAACATTAGCGAGTCTTCAGAAGACTACCTGAAATTGCTACAAGTTTCATTGCGATTTGTTGTTGTTTTTTTAGTTGTAAGAAGTTAACATCGAAATCTAGGACATGTCTTTCTTTTATTTGTAATTATTGTCAACTGAATATTTATCTGCATCTTTGGATGTTGTACTGGCTATTAAAATGAACTGCATCACGTATTTTATCCACATCATGTATTCTGTAATAGAAGAAACATAGGTCATAGATTCCTTGTTTATTAGCGCAACTCAAATGTATCACTAAGTAGGACCATTCGCTAGGTCGTAGGCGGACACAACTGATGAGTCCTACATTGAGACCAAACAGTTTTCCAGTGCTTCCAAGTTTCTCAATGGTTCTCCAACTGCTATCATTTGGCAGTGAAAGCTACCTATAATATATTCATTCAATTATTAGGCTAGTGGACTTACTACTTATATGAAGCCTAAAGTTAAATATTGATCTTAAATTTATGAATAGGCAAAAGAGATATTCATAGAAAACAACTCTTGTATGAGAGAACAATCTATCACTGTGATAATCTCTCAGTCACTGGTGAAAACTGATAATTCAATGAAATTTGTTAATGGTAACAATACACGACGTCATGGGTTTACTTCAAACGGGCGACTCTATAGGGCACCCTAGCGACTGCTGAAACTACCAATCAGATCTCGGTATTCCTATCAGAAAGGTAGTTTTTCATAGAATAAAGAGATGTAACTATTGGTTATCTCATCAGTTGCTAGGTTGGCCATCTTAAAGTCACTCACTCTAATCTGTTATTGGTGGTAGTAGAAAACATTCAAGTGGGAACCTTGAAGGCCGAGGTGGAGAAGGATTCCATGGGAACAGCAGTTGGCTCTGGGTCAAGTGGTCCTAAATAATCCGGTAAATCGGAACAGAGATGGGGTGCCTGACATTGTCCGTTTGTGGGCATTGCTCATTAATCCTCCAAAATGTACCAAGCAATCTGCTGTAGAGAAAGGGAATCGGGTGGACATTCCCGACCCTGTACACGGAGACTGGTGCATCTTGGGCCTTCGGTTCAGTGTGTACTGAGCGTGCTAACGCAACCGAACCCGGAGACGTCGGTGGAAGTTCTGGTAAGTGCTCTGTTTCCTTTGTTAGGAGTGCATCCACCCCCTGGAATCGGCATGTCCGGAGATAGGAGGCTAGCCTCCTTAAAGCATCATCTTCTTGTAGTGTCCAGAAAACTCTTGTTGGCCTTTGAAAACGCGAGCCAGGCAGTAAGATTTTAGTGGCAAGCCGTGCTCATGTCCGCAGCAGGTCTTCAAGGTGAACAGTCTCTGGTAGCTGAACAGTGTAGGTAAGAGACGTCGACAAATTAGATCAGTAACTTTGGGAGAAGGATAGACGTCGGCCGAGATCAGATCCGTGTCAGCCCAGTTAAGGGCTAGTTTCTTTGGTACTTTGGGTGCTTGGGTGCACTTTGTTCCAAAGTTACTGGATTCTGACCAGGGTCGATCGTGTACGGTCTCAGCTGTTAGTGTCGTATGGCTAGCAACGCGCGTGGACTTGCTCTGCGTTGCGTCAAGCGGCTGTACTTCCTTTGTCTGGTGCGCGATGGCTAACTGTTTGCTGTTTGAAAAAACACTATTATGAAGTCTTTATCCCAACGCAATTTCGATGTGAATGGAGATAAGTTTTGTAATGTCTGTTAATTAGTTACCTAATCTTTCGTTTACAGTGGATCAAAAAGAAAAAATGAGATCCGAAAGAATTCTATATCTCTAAGGTTATATTCATCAAGTTCTGACATCAGTCAAAGAACCATCGAAAATGACAGAGCGCTGGATAGCTGTTTCGTCTTAGTATAAGACTCCTCAGCGATACAAACCAACAATCCTGCCTTTCTAAGGGTCAAACTCAGGACCTTCAGGTTTTGCAGTGAACATGTTGTCCATTTAACTACTGGGTTAGAATTTAATGGTCCACAGTCTCCCAGTTCTGTTAATTCGTAACATAGAGCAACTATCCAACAAGGTCTTCAGTTGACATCTGCTTCATTTCCAAGTTTTGGGCATCAACGGTCACTCGTTCTCATTAGAACTTCGTGATATCCAGCAGAAAGTAGGTGACTAGGGAATGTTATACGGTAGTGTAGTTTGAGGTTTGTGGGAATGTTCTTTTTTATGTGCTGAGGTAGTGATGAATACTAACTTAGTGAATAGCTGGATTGAAAAGCTCATGGCAAGCACACAGTATGAAGTTGAAATAATGTTGGTTCACTATAGTCTGTTGGAATCTAGCTCTTAGATTTCGTTGAATTCGTAGATTTACTTCTTCAACTACTTGGATGGAGTATACATTTACTTCACTATAACGTATACATTACATAACTCAGTTCACAAGGACAAAAATAGTGAGTGTACGTGTACATAGTACGAAAGTTGGACTAAGTGGAGTGAGGTGAACAAATCATCGTAACTTAAAAGCCTAACCTAGCAACTTCCGAAATAACCAATCAGGCCTCAGTATTTCGACTGAGAAGTTAGTTTTTCATAAAATAAAAAAACATAATTGTTTATCTCGTCAGTTGTTAGGATGGCCTTTAAAATCACTTCTAGAGCGTAACATATAATATTGATCAACAGGCTTTTAATGGCATTACAAAGTCTAGGAAGTAAATAATTCAATTATGAGAAAAACTCGGTGAATGATTTCAATATAAAATCTTCCCCTGTAAATTTGTTTCTAAACTCTTGAAAGATTAACATTTTCAACTGCTTCATGCGTTTCTGAACCTTTAGTAAGTTTGGTTGAAAGAAGAAGGATGAAATTTGCTAGGTGAAATGATGATGTCACAATTTTATTCCACGAGTGCTCATCAGCTACATAGAGTCTAAAAGTGTAATGATTGTTAGGACATACGACATTTATAACACATAACATATAAGAGAATTAGTAGTTGTGCAGAAGTAAGAAATGTAAGGCAGGAAAAATAATAATAAATAAAGAGTTATGTAATCAAAATGAAACAAGATCAAACCATAGTCACTAACGGAGTGACAGACTAACTACACTCTCCTTCTGTATGTAAAGGTTAGGTTGAAAGGATTCTATTGAAATCACTTCCGTGAAGCCAAGTAATCCAGACATTCTCTGTACGTTAATTATTTTAAAGAAACTCGAGGTTTAAACCTAATCCCAATCCTGTGTCTACGAAGTGTCTAGCACTTGCACTGCTCAGAATCTTACTTCCTTTCAAGTGAAGATATCCTCAGTCAACCGAACAATCGACACCATCCTCTCAGTCCTTCCTATCTACTTGCTATCGTAAGTGTATATGATTTCATGAATCCGGCTAGAGTTGATATCACCAGGGTGATTATCCAACTTTGAATGGTTCACCTGACAGGTGATATTGTATACAGATAAACCTCCTTCTCAATTCTGCTTGGATTCTTGTGTCTGTTGTCTTCGATACTCCACCTCCTTTGAGTGTAAGGTGTATAAAAACCTTCTTCAATACCATACTTCAATGTTGATTCCTCTCAATCTGTTCTTTTCCATACTTCATAGTAAATCTCTCTCGGAGACACTACTCAATAAAGTTGACTTCTTTCTTCTCCTTCTAACTTGTTCAGTAGAGCATAATGTCTTAGACCTTGGTTGTGTAGTGTTGTGACTAGCCAGTATTTAAAGCTAGCAGGACACAGACTATTGTAGATAAGGTAATGTCCACTTCATGTATATTTCCTGTGGAGGATCTCAGCAATCGTATCGTCTATCCTTCTTCTCATGCTATACAACTCTGCATTATTGATCTCCTAATCTTGAAGTATCTTATCTCTTAGTAACTATTACACCTTCAGCTAAGAAATGAGTGAGTATTCGTCAAATAAAATGATGATCATGATGATGATGATGATGCCATTTTTTTCTGGAAGTCTGATTCTTACACATGCGCCAGAATTTAGCAAGGGATCTAAATGCATAAACTTCAAATACTACTCAACGATATGATAGTGTCCAGAATGATGACGTAGTTTAGTATGTAGAACTAACCACTAAGTAGTTGTCAAACAAGAACAAATAAAACATTTTATCACCTATGGCGTTGTTTTACCCAACCCCACCAGAATTAAATCTGTTGATATGCCTTGTCAACATGATAGAACAGTAAGTAGACTTCAATATGATGTCAATTTCACAAGATTATACTCTTCTTATACCGCTGTCTTTGCATTAAAGTAAAGTTTGAAACCATCATACTCAAATCTCATATAACACACCATCTTATAAATAAACAGTCAAATATTTCTTTATCAACCAACCCGTTCAAACTGATGCAATCCCTTAAGTGAGTGTAGTAGTCGACGTATTCCACCACTTCATTTCCCATCCTCTGACTACAAACCAGTCCTGAAGCATTA